TTAAAAAAGGGGACAAATCTGAAATCAGTAATTATCGCCCTATCTCTGTTCTCTCCACATTTTTGAAAAATTTAGAAAAAATTATGTTAAACAGAATTTACAAATATTTCCATGATAATAAACTACTTTACATCAATCAATTTGGCTTCAAAAAAGATAACTCAACTGAACATGCAATTATCCAATTTGTACGTGAAATCTTAAAATCATTTAAAAAATCAGAATATACACTAGGAACTTTTATTGACATTTACTACTTACCCTATAAATAATACGAAATAAAAAATAAAATTTTAAAATAGTTTAAAAGTTTTTTATCTAACCGATAATAATTTGCACTATTTAAAAATGATTATCTACCCAATTTTTTAAATATAACCTGTACAGTCCCACAAAGTTTAATTCTTGGACCTCTTCTTTTTTAATTTATATAAATGACTTTAATAAAGCTCCGAGCATTACCTAAACTAACGAGCATTATGTATGCAGATGATACAAACTTATTCCTTTCTAACTATGATATCGCTGAACTCTTTAAAACTGTCAACGAAGAACTTAGACATATATCTAGTTGGTTCAAGTGTAATAAGATCCTTGAACACTAATAAAACAAAATGGTTTTTTTTTTTATTAGTGTTAAATTTATTTCATTCGATTACAAAAAAGCGGTTTCTCCCATTAAAATTACCTCAAATCTTTATCGATCAAAAGGAAATAAAAAGAGATTTTGTTAAAATTTTTTTAGGCGTTTATCTTGATGAAAACATTCGGGGTCGTTCATAAATTACGTCACGCTTAGGGGGGCAGGGGGAAGGGGGAAGCGATTTTGTGACAATTTGTTACGAGGGGGTCTCGATTTTGTGACGCAAACTTTTATTTTTTATTTTAGAGAAGAATTAAAAGTGTATCTGACCAAATCAAAACCCTCAGTTAATGTATCTACATGTTGGTTTTAAAATAAACTACGCCTAAATCTTATTTAGTCGATGCGTACACTCCATTACAGCCTGTTAACGGACTGTTACGGCTGTTTGTGCAGTGCACATTCTGCGCTTTGAATTTATATGGTTCAAGTGGAGAACTTAATTTTGTTGGAGCATAAAAGTGTGCATCAACAAAAAAGCAATCTTTGTGCATTAACTAAAAAAAAATCCTTTTCGATACCGAGAAACGAGCTTGAAAACCTCGGTTCATATGCCGAAGACAGAATCCACTCGACCACGCTTACGTTGCAAGTAGGTAGAAAATTGTATTTATAAATTAATATTATTGCATGTATAATATGTTATTATATACATATATATATATATATATATATATATATATATATATATATATATATATATATATATATATATATATATATATATATATATATATATATATATATATATATATATATATATATATATATATATATATATATATATATATATATATATATATATATATATGTATATATATATATATATATATATATATATATATATATATATATATATATATATATATATATATATATATATATATATATATATAATATTTTGCATTTATTATATTTTGGAAAAATAGATTCTTTAAATTGGTATCATGTTTAGAAGAGCGATGTTAATTTATACAATCTTACACGGAACTATTGGGGTAAAATGAAACATTAAATAGACTTAAAAGTACTAATTATTTAACTCAAAGAAGCTCAGAGAATTATAGACATTGTATTTAAAATGGTTTTGTATTTTGTAAAATTTTTTACCCCTTCCCATCCTCTCTAAAAAAAATTTTTTTATCAAGGAGGGGGGGGGGGGGGGGAGAGTGAGTCAATAAAGTGTTACGGATGCGTTACGAGGGATGGGGTTAAAAATATCAAAAACTGCGTGACGTAATTTATGGACGACCCCTTACTTGGAATCACCATGTTGATTATATAAGCACAAAAATTTCTAAAAACATGGGGGTCCTATATAAATCACGTATCTATTTCAATAAGAAAGTCTTAATTCAACTTTACTACTCATTTATACATAGTTATTTAAATTATGCCAATATTGCTTGGGGAAGTACAGAAAAAAGTTGCAACGCCTTTATCTCCGTCAGAAACGCGCAATCCGTACACTCAATTTTACAAATCGCTTCTCTCATTCGAAGCATTATTTTATTGAAATGAGAGTTCTGAATATATACGAGTTAAATGTATTTAATATTTAATGTTTTATGTATATGTTGATAAATAACTTATCCGTAGCTGTCTTTAAAGATCTTTTCTCTTTTAAACCAATCAGTAAATATATTTTGAGAAATAATAACTTTTTAAATAAACCTTTTTGTCAAACAAACTTTAATCAATTTTGTATTACCTATCGAGCACCTCACCTTTGGAATTGTTTTGCCGAAATTCAATTTTGAAGTACCTATTACTTTTTGTCTTTTTAAAAAAAACCTGAAAAACCTCATTCTTTCATTAGATAATATATTGAGTTATTATTACTAGTAAAAGTTATTTTTATTGTTTATATACATATTTACGTTTATAGAAATTTATTTCTATTTATTTTATTTTTTCTTATACTTTTTACTTTTTAATTTAAATGTTGGTTTACTCTTGTATAAAATTCTGATGAGAAGATCCTCTTGATCTTACTTCAGACACAGACTTGCAATTCTGTAAAAGTTTATTATTATTATTTTTTTAACCTTATCTTCGTCAAATGCTTATTTAAGGTTCTGACAACAAGATCTTTGCGATCTTCTTTCAGATACCTTGTTTATAATGGTTATATTTTCTATCATTGTAAGTTTATATTATTATTGGTTATTTAAAGCTGTACAACGATTAACAAATGTAAACAAAACAAAAAAAAAACAAAAAAAAATAAGAATTCAAGATTTTTATTTAAAAACTTTGGCATATAAAATTTGCCAAATGGTCACACACGAGCAGTGAGCGCCTGAGGGAAAAAATGAAGTACATTAGAATGAAGGAGAATTATTTATTAGACAAAGCATATTTTGACAGTCAAGACAAAAATAAAGATTAACAAAGGAATATTTAAAAATAAATAAGACAGGCTATACACCCAAAACAATAATAACAATAAAAAAAAAATTAAAAAAAAAATTGTTTTATAAACACCAATACGAACGAAGATATACATCACCAGACAAAAACTTATAAAACAAAAAACCGATCACAAAATAAAAAATATGATAACAACAATGAAAGGCATTTAATAATGGAAAAAAAAAAAAACATTAATGCTAATGTGTAAACATAATTTGTGTAGTGATTAAGTAATAAACATCTCCTCAGAGTCACGTCTATTATTACTGGCGTTTCGATGAGGATCAGCATTTATAACTAGTATAAATGCTAAATGTCTACAACAAAAGATTTTTTTATCTTGTAAGTAAAATGTTTTATTGAATATTAAATATACTAAAGTTATGAGTTGAAACCATGGTTTAGGGATGTGATAATAGTATGAAGTTGAATGAATGTGATATTAAGGGTGAATGAATTAAGTTTGTGATGTAAGATAATATATTATTGCTAATATATATATATATATATATATATATATATATATATATATATATATATATATATATATATATATATATATATATATATATATATATATATATATATAATATATATATATATATATTTATATTTTTAGACCAGTTGAAAGAATTACATTTTTTTTTTCTTATACTTTTTACTTTTTAATTTATATGTATAAAATTCTGATGAGAAGATCCTCTTGATCTTACTTCAGACAGAGATTATTTACTTGCAATTTTGTAAAAGTTTATTATAATTATTTTTTTAACCTTATCTTTGTCAAGTTCTTATTTAAGGTTCTGACGACAAGATCTTTGAGATCTTCTTTCAGATACCTTGTTTATAATTGTTATATTTCTATCATTGTAAGTTTATATTATTATTGGTTATTTAAAGCTGTACAACGATTAACAAATGCTGTACAACGATTAACAAATAAAAAAAAAAAAAAAAAAAAAAAATAAGAATTCAAGATTTTTGCCGTACCGCAAGATGGCGTAGGCTGGCTTCACTTTTAACTCAAGTCACACATCTAGTTATATTTATAAGTCATTGGTTTCAAATAAATCAAAAATACTTCTTATTTGTTTAAGTATTGCATGTTCATTAAAGGTATTTTTTTAAAATCGATATTGATTTTACATATTTTATATGACTTTATACTTTACTTCCTCCTGTTGCAATTGATGCATAAATATTATTCCATAATACTTGTCACATTTGCAAAGATCAAAATTTTATAACTATAGCTTTTTTTGTGTTGAGGCTATTTTTAAAAATAACAGCGCTTATTGAAAGGTGCATGTATGCTCCTTTCCTTTTGAGTATACTAAAGACTTTCTAATAAGCTTGGGGACTTGAAAATAGGAGAACGAGTCGCAAATTTAAAAATAATACAGTTTTATAGCAAAGTAATATAGTACTAAAAATCAAATAAATTAAAAAGTTCACTATTAATTTGACAACTTTTATTTCAGTAATTTGATATTTTAAAAAGTTTTTGTATTTCACCACGACTTTTTGTACTCTTCACGATTTGCATAAATTTTCAATAATCAGATCAAAAGTATTTAAATGTGAGAACTATTATGGAGAGGAGGGAGTATTATACAAAATTCTTTACAGAACTTTCGAAAAAAAAAAAAAAAAAAGAAAAAACGAATGATGGCGATGAACTTTAAACAGCATCAAAATAATTTTTTGGTCGAATTAGACATATTTATTTCAATCTTTTGACGCCTAAAATTTTTAACTATTTGTCTTTCTGACTAATTATTATAAAATATATGATTTGAACTTAAATATATTTATAATCTTATATTTTTATGTTTCACTTCAATATCACAGCTAAAAAAAAAGGGCCAATTTTATATATTTAAAAAAATACAATTAGTAATGAATTATTTATAATTGTATAATTAAATATCTCTTAAATATT